CCAGTTTCACAGACTCTGAGCAGAGACCAGTGTTCCCAGTCCTGATCCGACACACTGGGTTTAATCTGTTTCTGCTTTCAGTCGTACGCTGTACTTTCCTCTTTGTTTTTCTTCAAAGTTCCGCATGCTTCAGCTTCTTGTGAAGGAATCCACTTTTTCAAATAATAAAGGTGTTTATTGTCAGACTTTTTCAGATTTTGTTTGATTTTCCTTCACTGTTCTAATAGCTTCATTGTTCAATCAATACTATGATATAAGATTTTACAATCTGAATCTTTAAATTTACTGAGAAAAGTAAACAAGAACATCTGAATTCATTAATTGCAATAAAACATTTAAGATCATTAAGTGGAAAAAGATTTAATGCATAAATCCAATAGAATGACTGGCAATCTAAATGGCAGTATGTAATGAATTATTATAAAAACTGTATTAAAATATTTTTACTAAGGCAATCAGAATTGAGTCTTAATCAACAGTAAAATAACTTTAAAGAACTGAAAAGAATCGAAAGACTAATTCTGGGACAGGTTTTTCTATAAAGTAAGAGTTTATTTTATGATTTTATGCATAAAATAGATACATTTCTTTAAACTATACAGTAAATCTTTTTATGGTAGGGTTGTATTTTTAAAACTGGGGATACTTAATCTGAAACTTTGGTCAAAGGTCAGTATAAAATGAAACTGAGCAGAGACCAGTGTTCTCAGTCCTGATTTGACTCACTGGGACTCTGATACTGAAGAAGTTGTTTAAAAAAAAAATCATTTTCTCTATTATTTGATAACCACTTTTTGTCTTTCACGTCTTTGATCATGATTTTTCTGAATTCCATAAAGTCATCATCATAAAAAACATTTTTTTTTATGATAATTTTCATCAATTAATTTACAATGTCACCAGCTCCAAATGATGAAAAACCTGCTGAAGCAGACTGATTCACTGTCAGGTTCGAGGTTACTGCTTTTGGTTGTAGTCATTCATTCTTATCTGTTTTAATATCTGAACAGTATTGTAGGGGATTCATATAAGAAATGTTTTTTTTCAAGGCAATGTTTTCGGTAAGCGCCTTTGTTTATTCATCTATCTTTTTAGCTAAAACAGAAAATTATGATGATGTAATGAAAATCCAAACCAAAAATATTCTGATTTATCTTTATGCTAAGAACGTTACTGAGAAAATGAAATGAGGATATACATATCTATAAATTATTTGGGACCATGGAAATGTTGAAGATGTCATGCAAAGATCATTATGAATTACCTAAATAAATAAAAAAACAATTACTCAGATTTATTAATTATCATAAAAGTTTAAGTCAAATTATTCAAATTGTGTGTTTCTTCTTAAAAGTTGAGGAAAGAAACACTAACAGACTGTAATCACTTCAGAAAAGGAAGAGATTTCAGAAAGTGTTTACACAAGATTTCTAATGAATTTATCGATCAGCTGTTGCAAACATGAGTCCAAATGTTAAGAATGATGATTATGTGTGCTACTTGTTAGCTTTGAGTTTTACCAAATCCCTCCCAGAGCACTGGAGCATGCTGCTGCTCATGCATGGTGCCTCTATAGGGAAATGTTGTAAATGTGTCCAACAGGAAGCATCAGATCTGACTATGCGGTTATCAATAAACTCATCCATTTATGATGAAAAAAGATACCTATGATTACCAATAGAAGGGACCTCATTTCATTTGACCAATTACAGTTTGTGTATAACAGACCTAATGCAGTCCATTTGTCTACTGATGAAAAAGTCTGAGTCATTAAAAATAGAAAATCAGACAAGAATCTTGTGACGTAAAATATTGTTGACTAAAATATTACACAAAATGCAAATAACAAATTTAAAAAATATCATAATCTTTTCACAAATAAATAAAAGTGAAAATAAATGTTAAGTAAATGTCATTAAAATAATTTTTAGAATACCAACATTATTACAAATGTCTTGTTCGTCCACAATTAAGGATTTCATTAAGGAACCTGAAAAAAAAATATAGAGAGAATGTAGACTGTTTTTTGTTTAATTTCTGAAGGTGACTTGCTTGGTCCAAAGTGAAGATAATAGAGCTTTATAGTGACATTAATAAAATCATTGTATCCATGAAAAATCACCCAGAGTCAGAGATCACAATTATTCATGTGTGTGTGTGCTTGGTGAACCGTGTTGCTCTCTGTCAAAGCTTTCTACTAAAGCCAAAGTTCAGTTTCTGTTCAGTTTGAAGGTAGGGGTTTTTTGTACGACTGTTTTTCACTGTGTGAACAGCCACTGACTGTTGATGTAGTGAGCACTCTGACAGTAATAAACTGCAGC